TCTGTTGGTTGTTGGTGTGGACGCCTGTATGAAGATGATTCCCGATGAGGTGAGTTGATAGAATCTTATCAGAAAAAAGCAGCCTCCCACCCACCCAGTGTGACTAATTTTGCTTCCCAATGCTCCTTAAAGCCTTCCCAGTAATCCCTATTTCTTGAAATGGCACTCACAGTTTAGATGATTTCGAGAAATGCGTGCAAGAAATTCTTATTTCAGATGTCACCCCATCACGGTGAGTGTGACCTGTTCGAGGACCGTTTCCTCCTCTTCGCTCATGAGGGGTTGCGAAGAGTTTCCAAATAAATCACAGTTTGTAATGAGACTACCTTCAGTTTGTGATACTTGCTCGTCGGCCACGCGACTGGCATGTCCTTCTGGGTTTTTCGATTGCGATTTTACCCTTCTGACGAGATCAAATAACGGAGCGTTCTGTTCAGTGTGAGTGTTAAAAACCCTGTAGAGCCAGTCTTCCTGTTATGTGAGACTACCTTTTGCCTGAAATTCCTTCTTTCTGACAAATCTAGCATGTGAACTCTATACTTTATAATTATGTACGACTTTGAGAAGGTGTTTAATCTGCTCTGACGAATTGTGTTGTCTACTAGGGCCCTCTACTCATCTTTGCCTTTGCATGTCGATTTCTATGATTTTCCTTTACGCTACTGTCACTCCAAGGGTCGGCCTGCATCTACCAAAAACAGAACAGAGAGTATATACATATCTACCTCGACTTTTCTCAGCCATCTATGCTCTGACGGCGACCTACTAGCAGATGACGGATCTGGACCCATAGTGGTACAAGCAGGAAAAGTTGTTTGTGATCGTAACGGCAATTGGAAATCGCCCCTGGGCCAAACGTTTGGCTCCGAACTGAAGGCTACCTGCGGATTCCGTAAGCTCTATCATTCAAACTTTTCCATTCTCAGCCTTTGTTTTTTCCCTTAATATCCTGAACTTTTCCTGTTGAGAACCCTGAATAGCTCCTTGGAAATATTCAGGCTGTGATAAATGTACGCCGGCCATACCCCTCAGCTGTCCATCTGGATACACTTGTGATTTCGATCTTTTGAGGGAAACGGAAAGCGCAGGAAGTTGCATGACGTGAGTTCGAACAATTGCCTAAGACAAATTACAACATTTTGTTGACTATACATGGGAATTCACATATTTTTGCCGATCAGGTCTTCGATTGCGACCATTTTTGATCGGTTTGATCCGCCTGAAGAAAAATAATCTTGGTTTTATTCCTTAATGGTCTGCTTTGACTGAGCTTCTGGTAACAGACATAACAGGCAGAATCTCTTGGAGAACTTCAAATACTAAATCCTAATTGTGAACTGCTCGTATTTAATGGGATGCTGTCCTCTTACTTACTTGAGGTATTTACTAAATCGCGAATTACTTCTTTTAGGTACACCTGTACTGATGGCCAATTCCTAGGAGACAATGGATTGCTGGAAGGGCCTGTAGCTGTAGACAGTGCCGTCTGTCGTCGCGATAAGATTTGGATGTCCCCACTTGGTGAAACGTTTGGCACAACGCTAAGGGCTACTTGTGCATTTCGTGAGTTTGTATAAAGGAACGTACTGTCCTGTAAATGAACCTCTGGAATTAGAGTGTGCTTCTAATAATGACACCCTCGTTAAAGTGAGATTTGATGCTGTGCATGAATTTGTCTTGTCTTGAATTTGTGTGTCTAAATTATATTTTCTACTCATTTTCTCGTGTCACATCTTTGTGATGTATTATCAAATAAATAATAAATAAAGTGAAGTGACCTGAAGTGCTTTCTATTGATATCTATGTTTTACTTATATTAGTGTAATTATTTTTATTGATTGTACTTGTGTTGAGGACACAATGTTTAGAATAAAAATACGCTTCAACCTACCGGTTGTCGTTTTGATAATTTCCAAGTTTGTCAGAGCCTCTGTGAAGAGATTGCAGGATGTGACCGATGCAGTGCTCTGACTAGCTATGGAATGACATGTCCTACTGCACGAGTGTGCAGACCGGTTACCATCCAGACAGGTAGACCTGAACTATACTTTTCATGCTTTATGTGGAACACATGTTTTGCAAAACAACGAGAAAACAGTAATTTGTCAGAAAGATTCGAAAAACTTCAAAAAACAAATCTCCAAAGCTGACTGTTTGGCAGAAAAATTGTCGTTCTCTGCTTCAACCTGTATCGTGGCTTTCAAATATCTGTAGATGAATTTTAGAAGTCGTTCACTGACTGAGTGGCAAATAAAGTAAGTGAATGTAAAGAGATGTTTTCAGAACAGTGCAAAAAGGCAGTTTGCGTTGACGGAGTAATGAAAGCGAATCCAGGAAATGTAGCAGTACAATTACTGTCTTGTAATACAATGGCTCAATGGATGGATTCGCTCGGGGAGACCTTCACTGCTGCACAATGCGAAGCCAGTGAGAGTTGATGCTGTGAACTTCCAGGTCGATTCGGGGATTCTACATATCAGAAGTAGTCTCGGGTTGGTCCGGTGGTTAGTGTTGCACGGTTAACACATATTCAATACTGATGACCTGAGTCTAATCGGAGCAGAATCTGATACTTTGGACCATTCGAGAATCATACGGCACCTACGTTCATTATGCATACTTCATTTCGATTGTGGTCATTAAAAACAACTGGTCAAGTGAGAAAACATATTGAGGGAAAATGGCTGTGTCTATAAGAACATTCTCTCCCTCATCCTCCCTTCGTGTAGTCTTCTCAGTCATGAAGTCCGCCACAGAGGCTCGGCGGATGTGTTGGAAGCACCTGCTTACTCCAGGTTGCTCATGTCCTGCACTACCAATTTCCGTAGCGCCATATCCACCGGCTCATGGAAATTCGTTGGGAAC